CCGACCGCGCGTCCGAACGTGCACCTCGAATAGACTTTGTCTCCTGTCAACCAAACTATTCCTTTTCCTGATTATCATTTGCTGGTGTTAACCCCGCTTAATTTCCGTTGCTTTGCTAGAAACCGCCGATGAAATTTATTTGTAGAATTAGAGTAGCCCGTAATTATTTTTCTTTGTTTCAGGGCCATTTGCAACCGGCAAATTTGATGATTACTACTCTAATTTGTTTTATTTTTAGCACCGACCGAAATTAAAACCGAATAACAATTTATGGCGTGCCGTTTTTGAATATTAGATTGTTTATTGTAAAATAAACCAAACGTCTAATACTGAATCTATTTACCGTACCGATTTTGTGTCCTAACAACTGATATTTGACCAAGTTCTAATTTTGTATTTATTTGCAGCACCGAAAAACCGAATAACCATAACCAATTTTATTTTATTCACACCGCATGTAAATTATTTTTACATTTCTGATTTTAGTTGTTTATAAAATTGCAAGTAGAATCCATGTTACTTTTGATTGTTTCAATTTTCGTAGGCCTTAATAAAATAAATAAATCTAATAAAAATATCTCCAGTTGTATTCATTCTTAACGCCGATAAGATTGATAAATTCCGATCAGTAAAAAGTATTACTATCTTTTTGGTAACCTACACTGATAAGTCCGTTCATTATAAAAGTAAAATAACACTACACTCAGAGAACTGTATTGATAAGGTAAGAGAAATATAACAGACCCCTTGAATTAAACTTTCTTCGCTGTAGCTATCCCAGAACTTACTCTAAACCGAAGGTAAGGTTCACGTGGAGATAGGGAAAATGGCGCCCAAGACTAACCGAATAAAAAGATTATAATCCGGAGAATGTTCCTGTGACGTCACTCACCGCCACCAACTGCCGAACACCGCCCGCCGACAACTTTCTAGTAGTCAAGGGTCGTCACAAAAATAGGCGCCCAAGCACGGACATCAGTGACGCCTATAAATATTGTAAATTGTAATTCAAATTGTGAATTGACATTCCGTTTAGAGTTGGTAGTCAACCGGGGCGTCTACCAGTAACGTCCGAACCGACCGTCACCGAAATACGTTACAAAATCCTTTATTCCACTGAAAACTCATGTGACCATATGAACTCCCTGACCCACGGTGACTGTATGCTTACGGATTTTGATTTGTCTTAATTTTATATTTTGAATTTTAACATAAAGCACCCAATAACCTGAACCAAAATCTATATTTTTCGAACAATTATTGAACACTCACTTTTTGGTATAAAGAACCCAGGATGCTCCTTTTTTTTCATGAAAATATACGCATTACAAAGCTCTCTGAAAGGCATATTGAGTAAACAACCGAAAAATCTGTCGCTACCTCCCACATAATTCTAAAAAACCGTACCTTTAGATATCATATTTGTTTATCAGTGTAGGTCTTAATTCAATAATGTATTAATACACATGTAATACACATGTAATGAAGGTAAGTAATACCTAGAAGAAATGGGATACCCTGTATAATCGAAAATAATTAATTTAAAAGAAATTGTTTTTGTGCAACTTTTTAGTTTTTGTTCGTCATACGTGGTCCATCGAGAAAGCTACTCATTTTGACACTTGTTTTAACATTTCTCTCTAAAATAAATAATAATAAAATTAACAAAACTGGACTTTAGAGTAAACTGCACACCGATTGGAATAATGTCACAACACAAAATTTGTGAGTTTTGAGTTTGAGTTAACTACCACTCGACAAAGAGACAAAGGTAAATAAGATCTTATACGTCCAGCAGACTGATATATTTAAAATCCAAATAATGGCAAATGGTAACTGGTAACGAAAAATCCCTAAATATTGGCGTCACCAAGGTTAATGATTCGTTTGCAATAAACAGTGACACAGAACAGCTGAAGAGAATCTCGACAAAGATTATCACCAATCACATCGGGTGAAACAGAATGTTGTGTTTGATCCTTGATCTTATTGTTTTAATAATTTTTAATTTTCAACGCGGTTTTCGCTGTCTTTTTACACATCTCTAGGACCAGACAAGCAATATTCCGTTGATTTTAGATCAAACAGATCCAACGCCCATATTGGCATACAAACTGAAATTGACAAACTGAAACTAAGATAAACAGACTAGGGCTCTGACAGGTAAGCTCAACTTGATTAACATACTGGTAGAGTGCAATTAAACAACGGCCAGCAAAACTCAATCTGAACCTCTGACAAGCAAACTAAATCTGAACCTTGGACAGGGAAACTCTAACTTAAGTTCAGACCTGAAATCTGTATCTGATTGTCAAACAGAAGTTCAAGCTACCAAAACTAGGCTGAAGCACCGACAGCAAACTCAAACTGAAGTTCAATCGGGTAAATCCAAACTGAAACTTGGACAGGGAAACTCAAACTGAGGCTCAAACATGGAAGCTCAAACTCTAACAGAAACTCTAGCTGGTAAAATAAAGCTGAAGCTCAGACAGGGAAACTTTGGACGAAAATCAACTGAATATTTCTTCTAGAGATGTGTAATCACTGCCTGTCATAGTAGTTGGACATGGGTAGGAGAAGGTGGGTTGGATCCATTTAGCTCAATACTAGTGAGGGTTGCTTTCGCTGTACCCCATAATAAAACGCTCTTTTAACGGTAGAAATAAAGTATTTTTTATTGAAAACTAAGTTTGTGAAAAAGACGTATTGTCGGGGCAAGCGTTCGCTGGAGAGTCCCTCTTGATGTGGCAGAAGTACCTGGTCCTTGGCGCCAATCTGCCGTTGACCTTTTTTTGGAACCCTGTTGCGTCCCGGGTCGCGTCAGGATAGCGCTATTGACGTTGTACTTAAAAATGGGTCACTTGCAGCGTGTGTACCCACACTAGTGAATGTGTTTGTCTGGCTCTATACTCCGCGGTCGAAATTATAGAGAGTGAGTAATCGCTAGCTTTTGGACTAGTAAGGGGGATGAAGCGTGCCGAGAACGAAAATCCATTGGCGTGTCTGCGTAAAAGGCAACAAGATATAGAAAATATTGAAAAAAGATAATAAAACATAACATCTAATATTTTTACGGTTTGCTATAACCGGCACTTTGATCCATTTTAATTATTACAGCATTTTAAAACGTCCCAGTTGTGTTGTTTTAATTTATAAATTTATTATAGCCATGGAATTAGACTCCTCGTCTACGCTTATGCTATGACGTTTCTCGGGACGCTTAAATCAAGTCCGTTTACACCCAACTAAAAAAGCATTTCCCTATTCCCTACCAAGTGCAAAAGACAGAGATAGAATATAGATCGACGTTCAGTGTAACTCGGTCTCTAGACGATTATAGATTCTATCGATGTGCGTAGCGAGCGGCACAAAGATAAATAATATTGAACCGTATAAAAATCATTTTATATTTTATACGCATTATGGTAATAGTGTTTTGATATTATCTCTGAATCACTCTCTATAATTTCGACCGCGGAGTATAGGGATGTGTAAAAAGTGATTTTTCTTCCATTACTACCTGTCACAGTAGCTGAATATGAGTCGGTTATTGGGGGCTATGTAGGCCAGTCGATTGAGTGTTGTTTGTCTGGCCCCAAGCTATAAAAATCAGGCATTTTTTATCTCCCAATTGAACGGAAAACCGCGTTTAATGACCCTCCTCCTGTAATTGCCAACATGAAGGAAATAAAATTACTGTTCCAAACAAAATTACTGGTCACGTGGCTTGTAATCCTTTATAAATGCTCTGTATTTGCAATAAACGAAGAAAAATGTAAATATATAACCATTTTTCTATTTCCCACTCTCTTGAAAGGATACTGCTTAGAAGCATTATAACAGTTTTAACCTCTAAGAAAATAGGTGTACCAAATTTGAAATCATTAATAATTCGACCCGTTCGGATATTATCGCGAGAACATCCAGACAGGATACAATCAGATTTTTTTTTCAATTCGTTTTTGACAGTAAATAAAATTGAAAAATGTATTGCGTACTTGGTCGTAGCCAGTTACAAATTCCCTTTCATTTTCTTAGCCTTATCTGGAGTTCTTTGACCTGTTCTTAGGCTAGGTTCTGTGAGGGTGGACCCGCTATAAGAATCCCTAGACTCACCCGGATCGTCATTTCGGTTCTTATTGGTTCATCAGCCTCTGTAACTGGTCGTATCCAATGCTTCCATGTCCACATTTTCAGTTGTGACTTTACGAAGGCTTCACCGCTTGTCACCGGTCTTATAGCATCGGTGTCGGTGTGCGAGCACCTAGACCTGTGATTGGAGCGACCAGGTCAACAGGCCATGACATAACCACTAGAAAAACCATAATAAAAACCTTAAAACCAATATGAAAAGGGTACATTTAACCATAAAAAAACCTACACAACTATCTTAAAAGGAATGCTAAGTACAATAATAGTGTTATAACTAAAAAAAAATTAAATCGGAAAAAAATACCAATACTTTTTTACAAAAAAAAATTGTTATAATGTTTCTAGCGAATACATAGTTGCGTACAAATATTTAAAAAAAAACGGACGACTGAACCCGGCAAGCACCCGGTAAGTGTGAAAGCGTCAATACAAAACTATGCACTACTACCACTTCGGTCGCCGGATAGCCGGTACATGGCAGCCGGGCTGGCAGTGGTGGCGACCAGCTACAACCCGGCGGCCGTTCGCCGCATAGCTTTTTCCTTCACGTGTGAAAGCTGCCATAAGACTCTGTACACCTTGCTGCCGAGTAACCGAATCCGGTTAGCCGGTTCCGGCATGTGTGCAACAGGTGTAACAGTATTCCAGTCGGTGTGCAAAATGAATTCCATCTTACACCAATGGATGTTCAGAAGGTATACAAAGCAGAGAAAATGAGTTTTCTGCGACCACCCTGTACAGTAGCGCACCCAGGATTTCCCAATATAACCCAGAGTACTTGAACAGCTGATCTCTCCTGACGCCAGACAACGGCGACGCGGCCGATGCCAGTGTGAACGCCGCGACGGTCCTGAAAACACGCTGGGCACGCGATTTCACGAACATCGCACTCATTTTCATCCCAGAACTCGTCGGTCTGGTACACGTGTGACATTTTAGAAGAATATTTGCTGACTTAGTGGTTGCTGGAACTAGGTATACTTTTTTGATAACCCATCCCAAAAACTTTTTGTGAAGATAGTGACATTGTCGTTCTCAGCATAATTTTATTTTGGCAATCTTTAAACTTTAGGTAATTTAATTTATTATTGTACGGTTTTCAGTGGAATTCTAAAAAGTGAGTAAGACTTGCAGTATGTTTTATTTAAGTTTACTTAATGGTAGTTAAGTTAAAAAAAAATTCTCGTACTACTATTGTGATAAATGTTATGTATGTTGTAATGCAATCCATTGAATTGTTGTGATTTCATAATACGTTTTACATGATATATCACAAAAGTGTGTTACTTTTGCATTTTATGTAACGGAGATTCTAAAAGTACTCATATATGTTATTGTCCGAAGTTACTTATTTGTGGCATATTTTTTGTTGCTTTCTTAATTTATTGGGTGTTATACTACCTTCCATACCAAAGGTATGGAAGCAAACAAAAACAAACAGATTAAAAGTGTCACTATTAGACATCGGAACTTTGTGAGGACTATTAAATAAATAAACAGTAGTAATCTATATTATGCTAGCAAGCGGCAATACGCGTTGTAGTAGCAGACACAGAATAAATCTGTAGACAGGCTGTGTGCCGCTCTATGTTCACAATACACATTTCTGAGTACTAAAAAAACATGTGCCATACACTTGACCAAACAAAGCGTCAAACTCACTCACACACGCAGAAGCGACATGAAGTGCAGAACCTGGATTGTTAACCGGCACGCTAGGCCGACAGGGCAGGCATTAGGGTGCCGCTAGATACGTATTGAATAGATTGATCGATGCGAAGATTCAGACCAGAGGCAGACATGTATTGTTATTGTATAGTAACGCGGATAGTGCGATTACTAAAATAAAAAGTAGTTGATGCTTCGCCACCATTAGTAAAAATAGCATCTATTAAAAACTTTTTAGACCTCGGTAAATGTTGTACGGTCATTCTTGTTTTTAAAATGCGTATTTACCGATCGCCGGAGGCGATTAATCGCGGAACATTCACGGACAACTACTGTTGATTATTTTCTAGAATCGCTTTCCATATAAGTTAGACATTATTATTTTGTTAACTTTTGCTGGTAGTTATTATTACATACTACACCTATATATTTTATGTTCAGTTCCATGTGAAGCATTTAGTGTAGAAAAACAGGCACTGCTCGTTTTGTAGGTACATACAATACGCAAATACTTACATATATTTTATAAGAACGCAATGGTTGTCATTTTTTTTTTAAATTACATAAAAGGGAATTTGGCCTACAACTAACCTGTATCACCGCTCCAACATTTCCGATTTCTAATCATTGTAAAACTGTCAAAAATAATTTAAAACAAAACGTCACTTCTGAGTTAAAAAATCGAAAACAGATTGATTTTCGAAGCATCAACGACTTTTGAAGTACTTGCTTTATAGGAAAGTGTATTTTCTATTTTCTGCTTATTTCAGTGAGATTTTTTGACAAGGCAAAAATATTTTCATAAAAAAAAATAACCTTGATTGATCACGCGATGGTTTATTTCATTAATTTTATAATTTTCTTCACTGACGGCAAAATTAATTAATTAACGTTACAAGCACTAATTTAAGTGTGGTAAGTTGTACATTTCCGTACGACCTCCGATAATACGAAATGAAATTGAAGAAAATGAACTAAAATAAAAAAACTTAAAACATATAAATGATATGATAAATCATATCGATTTGACATAAACTCTTATCCAAAAATGAAGATGGCACTTTGACATTGTTTCTTTTAATTGTTCAGATTGTTGTTTATCTAGAAGCATCAAACTTTTGATGTAAAAATGATCTTTTAATTGTAACCATAGGCGTCACATTTGGGAGGGTCAACTGGTATTTGTAATTATATTTTTCTTCTCTTCGACTTTTTACTATAGAAATCGAAAACTTCATAGTTTTCGAGATTAAAGAATCGTGTCTTAAGTGGCTAGGATGTACCATATGCGAGATAAATTCATTTGAAATGTTTGTGTTTGTTTTTATTAATCGTCGTTTTGTTATAATTTTTGCCAGTCTGTGATATTAATTAATACAAAACTTTAACTTTTTTTATAAAATTTTACTTTATCTGTTTTCCAAACCCAACTACTATTAGCAAAAAATTTTGCTATTAAAAAAAACAAGCATTTCAAATAAATTTTTATCGCATAGGTGTGCTCTAGTCACTCAAGACAAGAGTACCCCTTTAATCTAGAAACTCTGAAGTTTCCTATTTTGATATTAAAATACAAAAAGTTGTAGATATAAATATAATTAAAAATCAGTTGACCATCCCAAACCATTAAAACATATCCTAAATTTAACTCTTCTAGATAAACAGCGATCTGAACAATTAAAAAAAGAATGTGAAAGGGGGGCCATCCCCCTACCAGGAAGCATTTCTGGATAAGATAATTTATGTCAAATCCATAAGAAATTATGCCTATACCTCGCTGTCTTTCTTTGCCGGTTTAGTTTCCGGACACCCTGTATTTTAATATATGGTACAGATTCGCAGGGATGTCTTATAAAGTAGATCATTGAACATCTTACTGCCGTTAATTTTTCGCTATTCCAATTTTGTTTTTACCGGATTTACCACATATCCCTCTGCTACAGTGGATATTTCCATCCACCGTAGCTTTCAAAGCCATGAAATCTCCTCTGGCGTCTGTCAATATCTTTGCGGACGTACGTCTAAAACAGTGCTCTGTGTAGGTTTTAGGACATAGTAATTTCATACAGAAAGCTATCTTCCAATGGAAATTTATTCCAATAATTTGACGTGCGGAGACCTTAACGATACATATTTGGAGAAATATTATTTTTTCTGAGCATAAACTACAAATTACTTGACTGTTTTTTAATAAGGATGTTAATAATAAAAATGTTTTATTATCAGAAATAGTATAAACGAAGCAAAAAATCGGCAAATGCTTTACATATATTAAGTCTAGATTATAGCATGCAGTTGTTAAAGTACGTAACGTTTGAAATGTATGTGGTTTTTCTCTTAGAATTAATATATTTCCAAAAATGTTTCGAATTATTACAAAGTACAAACAATATGATGACTTTAACCACAACATATTGTTTATGTCACCAATGTCACCATAGCAACAAAAAAACGTAACATCTAATAAAGATTGGACAAATTAGGAAGACTACAGAGAGATAATTGTCATCAAATACAAAATTACAGACTATATATACCAATTACAATGATTTTATAAGCTACGCTATCTCAAAAGCCTACAAATGCGTAACATTTTTAAAGGGTCATTTTTAAAAGTCAAATAAATGTCTAAAAACGCATGGTTGCTGTGAAATACTTGTGGTAACTGGGTTTTTACATCACTTATTATGTGATATACTATTAATGTGCTTGGTTGAATTTAATCTCTTTTAATTTATGGGAAGCATCCGAGATACAGATTAGATATAGTAACTTAAACTTGGCAAAGTTTGTAGTTTGTGGTTTATTATTATTCATTTTTGGATGAGACCCCAGATTTCACCACCAAGTTAAATTGACAATAATTATTTCTCTTTACTGAATAGTAGGAATAATATAAAGGGTAGATACTTATACTATACATGTTTATTCAAATATAGTACAAAAATTTCCATTGTCGGATTTGAGTTCCTTTAATACTATCTCTTATATCCATAATAATAATCTATATTTATTAAAAATATAAAAAGTTAGGGTTTGTTAAAGTTTATTTAAACTATATTAATAAATTTCACAATTTATCATTTGAAAAAGCCTATATTCCAATTTTCAGCCGAATATTTCGTAAATTACTTTAGAACAAAAAATCAAAATAAAAATATCTCTATATCTTTTATAAAATCAAGTTTTGATCTAGAAGAAGTTCGGTGTGACACGGCACTAATTTATATGTGCGTACGGGGTGGTTATCACTATTTGAGCTGTAACTTTTTACTTTAACCCTTTTTGAATAAACTGTTAGAAACTATTAAAGGAAAAAAGGTACTCTTCCGTAATATTCACAAATTGAATTAAAGAAATTCGGGTTTATATATGAGAGGCATTTATAAAATTTCACGACACCAATCTTATATGCATATTCTTATATATCACAGAAATAGTTTTAGATAAACTTTTTGCAAATAAAGTAAATGCAGCATAACTTAGAAAAATTTGAAAATTGAAATAAATTGTGTGATTATGTTTTAATTTTCTTTAAAGTATAATACAAATAAAGTTCCTAGTTGAAAATTATTTTTTTGAAATTTATAGCATTTGAAACTATATGCTATCGATACTAAAAAAATTATTATTGTGCTATTAATGCCTTTAGATTTAAAACATAAATAAGATATCCCGAAAGACTTTTATGTCACTATAAATATGAAATCTATCGTCGCTCAATGAAGGAATAATTTTTGGAAAAAGTTAAAAGGAAACATACATTTTACACAGGAACTGCAAAACCTAAAATATTTTACAACTGAACGTTGACATTTCTACATTTTATTTTTACAAGTTACAACTTCTATTTTTTTCTCCCAGAACAGTGTGCAACTTTTTTGGAAACTACACTCTGAATATTTTACAAAATATTTTCATTATAAAATATCCAGTTATAAAGTAAAATTAAAATAAAGTTTTTATTTTTATTTTCAGAAAATGAGAAATGCGAAAAGCCTCCCTAAATACATGCCTCCCTAAAAACATGTCAAGATTTCTCAGTAAACAGCTACGCATACCTGGCTCAAAGCTCGATAACGAGGGTTGTAAAATATTTTTCACGTGAGATTATACAGCACAATATCCAGCATTATACTTTAAAATTGCGCTTATTTCACAAAACTCGGAGCACAGCGTAGACAGCTATTAATATTTCAGTTTTCAGGGATGTTTGCTTCAGACTCAATTCACGAACTCGAGCCCATAGAAAATATTTTTAAATGCAAAAACTTGATCTAATAGGACGCTGTTTTAGAATTTAAAAATGGGTTTACCTAAAAATGTTTCACTTCAGAAGTGAAATGAAAGATTTTCTTTATTTTTGCAATTATTCATCCATATTTAAAATTATATGCTTTTCTTTTTGACTATACCTTTACCTTTTTTGAAAAGTTATGTTTAAATAAT